ACACCTCCCACCACATTCACTCAAACACAAATAATGCTTCTTTATTACAAACAAGCTGTCGACTGCAGGGTATGTACGCATCACTGTATGATAATGCAGTCTTCTTCTTCTTCTCGATCGCATCACACTTGAAGTCTGGTATCTGTCATAAATTGGGCCATCCTGCTCAGTTCATCTGTCGGCCCGTATAGCTTCTTGATAATGTAGTGAAAAAGAAAAGCCAACAAACTGCTTGATTGAAAGCAACAATAACCAATAAAAGGTGATTTTGTGTCTGCTCACAAAAGTTTGTCTGCTGTCTGTTCTTCAGATTACACTGAAGAGAACAAGTCTCCACCAGAGTATCTTGTCAGTGGTGCCAAAGCCTTGTCTGTCAGCCTCAAAGCATGGACTCAGAGGAAAGACGTAAGTTTTCAGGCTTTGTTTCACTCACCTTATAGCGCAGTTGTGTGACTTATGTGTGTGTGGGTGTGTAAAGGTGTTAACACATTGTGTGTCTAATGTCTTGTAGGCTGCGTGTTTGAAGAGTCTTGCGTGCTGGCCGGTTCCACTAGAAATTTGTGTCTGATTGAAAATACTGTCCAGTCATGCCAGGATTTCTCTGGGTAGAAGCAATGTTAGTGGTAGACCATTACTCTGTTTGCATCTGCCTAAATGTGGCAACTCAAGTTGGCACTGTTCAGCTGTTCAGCAAAAAGATGGTATGATAATAAAAGTGTTGATTATGAGAAATGAAGAGACAAAAATTAATCTTTTTTTTGTGTGTGATTTGTCTTTGTTAATGACGTCATGTGTCGGCCCATGTGTCTTTATGTGTTGGTCCTGATGCCATCACTTATTCTGACACATTATCGGTCTGTGTCACCACTCATTGGTCTATGTTTCCTCGTATGTGGGCCAATGCCATCCTGTGCCAGCAGCCTAAAGAAAGGAGTCAGTTTTCTCATTGTTTCAGTGTTTTGTTAAAGAAAACAGTGGTCAGGCAGGTTAGCTCCACGTGTCGGTGTCAACTCTTTATCTCTGGCAAGTCGCTACCAGCGACTCGCAGTCAGAAACACTGTGCCGTTGAGCTGCCAACAGCGGCTCGGGCGCATTCCTTTAGGACGACTCCGACGTGAAATTTCTTTTCGGCTGTTGCCGAAAACAGATCTCTTTTGTCGGGAGACAATTCATTAGATGAAGAACTATCGAAATAGGATCACTTTTTTATATCTAATGACCAGTTTAACTATCAATATATGATCCCTTTTTTATATGTAAGGACCAGTTTAGTCATACAAATGTCAATTTTAGATTTCAAATCGAAATAGGGTCCCGGCATGGTGGGTGTACCCCCCACGGAGGTAAAGAGTTAATCTGAGGACCTAATACACCCTCCCCTAGACTATCTCTGCAGTATGTCGCCAAGAGTACGTGCTAAGGAGCCAGTCAACTAATGCACTTCGATAATTGACACATCTCTTGAACTTTGTATGAAATTTTATTTTTGGCTTTGTCCTGAGGATGTCCCGCAGTCTTCCTCACGATATTAATCTACCACGTGCATTGTCAGATGCTACACCGCTTAATAATTTAATCATTGCTTTGATATTCTGAGATGACTGCATTCACTCTGTCTGTTTAATAATTAACGCACTTTTGCAAAGTGTGTCATATCTTTTGAAGATCAATGCTTCTCCAAATTTACAGCTCTCAATAGAAAAACAATGTTGTGTTCCCTGAGGGTAAAGGAAATCTGCAGTACACCAGTGGTCTGGTGATTAAATGTTTTTTCCAAAAGAACTATGACGAATGTTTGCTGAAATAAAATTGAGATATGGAGTGCGTCCATTTTCATTTGAATGAAAATGAGAAAAAGAATCAATTTCTGTCTTCACAAGTGGACTTCTTTCTTTCAAGTTGAGTGCTGAGCTACCTAGACCATTCCCTTCTGAGACACTCTGGCAACGAGGTTTTGAAAGGATTCTTTCAGTTCACTGTTGTTGTCTTCCTCTTTCTTGTCACATTTGTTCACTGTTAAAGAATTCGTTTTGCTTGGTACATTTTTTGTCTCTTGTCTCTGCCTGTTTTTTTGTATATGGTTGCATTGATTCACCGGTGGTGGTGAGTGGACGTTGACCTCCTGAGTTATTTATTCGCCAGCAGAGAACACATAGCAACTTCCTCTTTTGCAAACAATTCTGACTGCCACTCAAGTCTCATTTTGGGCCCCGGTGGTAATGAAGTATAGCCAACTACAGTGCGGCAAGTGGCCTGGGGGACATTTACCTCTTGTAAAATAGTTGTAGTGGGAACATTTTTCACTACCTGTCAGAACGATACACTTTCCTCAGAAGGCAGTCTATTGTGCTTTCTCAAGCATTGGTTTCTTGGGGTTTAAAAAAAATCATATTTGCGAATACTCAGTTCTAAGGTCAATATTTGCTAGAGTCGAGTGAGCTCTATATTTCATAACACAAAAGGTTTATTGCGTGGTTTAGTGGCGTCGGTGGCCTAGTGGTTAGGCTCTCGGACTCGCAACCGTAAGGTCGTGGGTTCGAATCCCGTCAGGGGCCCGACGTTGTGTCCTTGGGAAAGGCACTTTACACTTATTTTCCTCACTTCACCCAGGTGGGAATGGGTACCCGGCTATAAA